AATTAGTAATTTTATCTTCTTTGAAAACAGTGCAAGAACTATAGAAATCTCTAACTCTGCTTTCCAATCTATATGCAATTGTTTGGTATACACAATCTGTATGCAATTTAATTTTGTATATATTATGTTATACAGAGACTAGTCACTTAGTTTTACCCACATGCTTATAATTCCTATTGGCCTTCATTCTTTCTGATAGGAGGCTCAGCTGTGTACCCAGAGGTTCAGCCAAGTTTAATGAAAGAGGACTGAGACCCACCTGGGCAAAGGTGGTGGTTGCACCCAGAGTGGTTGGGAACTTGTTTTTATACTGGGCATGCCGGAGGGAGATTCCACAGGTTGCTGCTGGAAGGCTTTGGCAGGCTAGGTGGAACTCTTGGAGTGGGGCCAGCTAGGCCTTTTGTTCTGGGAGGGAAGGTGGAAGAAGGGTTTAGGAAGGTGGAAGAAGGGTTTAGGCACATAACACTTTTCCCCACTCTTACCATCTTCCATCACAAAGTTTGATTCCTCATGTCTGGAGAAGAATACCGTAGAATTTTCTGTAATGAACCTCTCTGATGGCAAATTCTGTTTTTTTTTTTTAGTGTGAAAACAACTTTATTTTTCAGTGAATTCTAGATTGGCGGGTTTTTTTTTCCATCCATTAAATATCATACTTAATATTGTCCTCTGGTTCCTGTTGTTTCTTTGAAAAATTTAGCTCAATTTGATTGTTGCTTCTTTGAAAGTAATCTGTCCTTGGCTGTTTTCAAGGTATTTCCTATATCTTTATTTAATTAATTAATTAATTAATTTTTTGAGACAAAGTCTCACTTTGTCATCCAGATTTACAGAGTGCCGTGGCCTCTGCCTAGCTCATAGCAACCTCAAACTCTAGGCTTAAGCAATCCTCCTGCCTCAGCCTTCCAAATGGCTGGAACTATGGGGGTATGCCACCAAGCCTGGTTAATTTTTGTATTTTTAGTAGAGACGAGGTCTTGCTGTTGCTCAGGCTGGTCTTGAACTACTGAGTTCAAGCTTCCTTCCTACCTTGGCCTCCCAGAGAGCTAGGATTATAGGCATGAGCCACCTGGCTAGCCAGACACTGCCTCTCTTCCACTCCCTCTTTTGTCTCCCTCTGGTATTCTAACCATATCCATGTTATACCATGTTCTACCATGTTACACGTTTTTGTCCTCTATGTTGTTTACCTTTTCTTCTATGTTTTCTAATCTTTTGAGTTAACTCTCTTTCATTCTAAACTTTCTTCTGGTTCTGTAATTGTCTTCTTAAGTTGTTAAGAAATTTAATATGTTGTTAAATTCACATATTATTCTTACTTTTGATTCTTATATTTTTCAATTTTAGAATTTATATTTGATTATTTTATAAATCTAAATGAAAAGCAAACAAAACAAAAAACTAAGAAAGGGGAAAATGTATGTCATTTATAAAATAATCTGGAGTTGCTGTTCATGTTGTCTTTTTGTTCTTGTTAATGTGTGGTTTTTTCCTCCAATGTTTCTGTGCTTATGTATACTTAATTATCTTTGCCTTTGTGTTAGACATTGTATTTGAAAAACTGTTTATAGAAATTTAATTTAGAAGCTAAGATGATGTTACCGTTCTACAGAAAAGATTTTCATTTGTTTTGCTTGCTAGATGCCTGGACTCACTGACAACTTGGGGTCATTTAAGGCATCAAGATTTTAAATTTTTCTGGGCCACCCATATGCCTAAGCAATTGTTGTAATTCTGGTTTATCCTTAATCCCAAGGTAAAGTCATTTGTGGTCCCAATCAAAACATGGTCTGTTTACCAGGGCTTCCATTGTTGGTGGGCCCTGGTTTCTACCAGTTGGCCTGAAAAGGCTTATTATTATTTAAATAGACTTTATTTTTTAGAGGAGTTTTAGGTTCACAGCAAAATTGAGTAGAAGGTATAGTTCTCTTATGCCTCCTGCCCACACACACTGACAACGCTTTCAAGTGCGTTGTCCAGTCCATAACCTCTGTCCTGGAATTTACAGTGTCTCCAGGAGAAAAGTAGTCCTAAATACCCATACAACAATTAATATTCTAGATTTTTAAAAATCTTCTTCCACATCTTGGCTTGGTAATTCTTTACTACCCCATTGATTTCTGATGCCGTCAACTAATTTTTTAATAATCAGTCCAGTTTTTCTAGTTGTTCTCAATGGGAAGGTGGGTCTGAACTGTCTAGCCTCCTGTCATCTAACACAATACAACTCCCTTCGTTACAAATTGTTGCAAGTAGATTTTGCATACCTGGAACAGATAACTCAAACTGAACCTTACTCCCTTTGTTACAAATTGTTGCAAGTAGATTTTGCATATCTGGAACAGATAACTCAAATTGAACCTATCAAGGAAATGGCACAACTAAAAACCTTTTCTGTTAGCATCACAGTTTTAAAATTATACTTTCAAATATAGAGGTATATTGTAGGAAGTAGACTTTTAATCTTTACAATCCTTCGTTGCAGCTCGTGATGCTGATGAGCGAGAGAAATGGATCCATGCCTTAGAAGAGACAATTCTTCGACATACTCTCCAGCTTCAAGTAAGAGTTTTTACCTGGCTTCTGGATAGTTCATTATTGTGTGTGTGTTTTCTGATTTTAAAAACACAATTGCAATATGATGTTAATGAGAACTTCCAATTTCTGAGTTGCCTTTTCTTTCTTTTACAGTGTTACGTAGTAAAGTTATAGTTATTTATTTTCTTGTGCTTTGTGTATGGTAAAATACTGATTTTTGTCTAGAAACAAGATAGCGCAAAGCAATGCTGGAAGTAAAATGCTGTGAACAAATGTGCCAAATTCATTTTTAAATGTAGTACCTATTGTTGGGTAAATTGTTGGATCTTTCCTGATTCAAGAATGTTCAGGATTATAAGCAGACATGAAA